CAGTTAGTGATGACAGAGTGAGGATGACAGAGTGAGGATGACAGTTAGTGATGACAGAGTGAGGATGACAGTTAGTGATGACAGAGTGAGGATGACAGTGATGACAGAGTGAGGATGACAGTGAGTGATGACAGAGTGAGGATGACAGAGTGAGGATGACAGAGTGAGGATGACAGTTAGTGATGACAGAGTGAGGATGACAGAGATGACAGAGTGAGGATGACAGAGTGATGACAGAGTGAGGATGACAGAGTGAGGATGACAGTTAGTGATGACAGAGTGAGGATGACAGTGATGACAGAGTGAGGATGACAGAGTGAGGATGACAGTGAGTGATGACAGAGTGAGGATGACAGAGTGAGGATGACTCACTGAGAACTGAAAGATTGTCAATTGAATGGAACAAGTTTAAACACATAAAATAAAATAAATTAAAAAACACTTAAAAAGCATGAAAAATTACTAATCAATTTAATATATAACACTAAAACCTGGCCACTTCTAAGTAACACGTTAACTAATGGTTTGACCCCACTCATCACAATAATTTATGCTTTAATCTCAGTCCTAACAGATTCCACATCTTGGTTCTTTAAAATTAAAAACAAGCAATAAACTCATCATTACAACTGGGTTTTAAATGTTATTGTTTAATTAAACAGCTACACAGCCTTATTACTAGTATATTCCCTCATTTTAAACCAGTTATTTACATCAAATGTCCCTCCCAACACTGACACTGTCCCGGTGGCTAATGCTAACGCTAGCTGTTAGTTTCTGCTGGAAGTCTCAGGTTTCCGCACCTTGCTGTAAGTCCTGCGGAAAGTTAAGCGAACTTCTGAGTTTCTGACCAGCAGCCGAAACAACCGAGTCACCGTCATGACGAGAACTTCCACCTACAGGCCAGTTCCCATAAAACAATTAAATCAAAGAACTCCTGCTTCTACGCAAGCGGCCATAACGCCACAAAGGCAGCGGTGACGTCGTCGGCGTCGACCTGTGACGCTGCTTCGGAACTGCGTGCGCGCTCCGCAGCTGCCAGAGCGCGCATTACAGGAGCTGCGGTGCAAACCCCACGAATTAGGAAATACTTAGTGAAATGTGTAAAACGTTGTGATTTTTACGCCACTTTAACCACAACTGCGTCATTTTCTCTTCGCCCGTAACTTTAAATTACAAACCAACCTGCTGCATCCGGATAACAGCAGTCACTGTGCTCCATTATGAAGCTCTACGCCTTCAGACTCGTGCTAAAACTTGATTAAATAAACTTCTTTCAATAATACTACAGGATTTTTAACACTTACATTGAAATTAGCCAACTGAAGCTCAAACCTGAAGACTTCCAGGTGCAACACCACAAATCTACCACCTGAGGGCGACACGGCACCACATGACACTAAATTTAGCTTTAAATAAACACTTTGTTCACTATTTAATCTAATTGCAATTTTACATTTTAACTGAATTTATGCTCAAGTGTTAGAAGCTGAGGCTTTTAGTGCTTGTAAACTACATGTTGAACTTTAACTGGACTCTTAGAAGCCTTAGGAGAGAAAAATAACTGCAGGCCTCAAAGTACTTAAATAATCTAAAATTAGAGCTGGATCCTTTCCTTAAAACATATAAATGTAGTGTTAAACATAAGAGACCTGAAATGTTTGGGTGCACAGTTAAAACGTGACATCTTCCTCGTTTTTCTGTTGTAGAAAAGGATCCACAAACACAAAGACTCTGAGTCAATTTTTACATAAAAAAAACTGTTCTTTCCTGAAAACTCAGCAACACAGATTAAGTGGCATTTTTTGTTTGTGGTAATTTCTAAACCACTGGAACAGAACTGTTAAAGATCCTAAAAACAATAAGTTCAGCGGTTTTAACAGGAGGAAGGAATAAACTGGACCCATGACTCATTTATTTTAGATTTTGCTCCCAATAGTCCAGACATTCTTGGATTTCTTGGTCTTGTTTTTTTTATATATATATAAATTTGTGGCTTTAAAGTAGTCTGTTGGAAACTGGTTTCGATGTCCTACAATACTTGTGTTTTTTTTTTTTTGTCTATTTTTTTAGTTTAAGAATTTGATGCAGCCAAAAACCAAGTTTGGAAAACTGCAGATCAAAATCCACGCTAAAAAATGTTTTTGTCTGTGTATGGTTTTAAATTAGCATTTTTTTTAAAGAAGGGTTTTCCAGCAGCTGTATGCAGCTGACAAAGAATTAAAAACAGAAACAATAATGGTGGTAAAACATATTCCCCTCCCGTTAGTGGTGCTGAAGTAGTTGAAAACCACCAACTTTACATTCATTTCACTCGATATCCTCAACCGAAGGACCCTACAAGGCAGATAAGACTGTTTTCTTGTAGCTGTCGGTTAATCTTCCTGTGTCAAACGTATTTTAGTCCTGCAGGATGTGTGCATGTTCATCACAACAGAAAGGACTGGACACTGAAAGACCAGAGATTTAGCATCATTGATGAAAACAGCAGGTCTCAAATACGTACAGCTTCGTTACATCTTCAGACATTTTCAAACTTGAAATCAAACCAAGTTTTTCTTTAAATCAAAACAAAAAAAAGACAATAAGAAATATTTACAGGGACAATTAAAATCTTAAGTGATACGTGTTTGAATAAAGGTGTCAGATTACGTGTCAACTTCCTCCGTACTGCCATCACAAGTGTTAGTAACAGAGAACGAGTTGTGTAACAAAACTTGATGTACATTTTTTTAATGTACTCATGAACTTCATGCAGAAATCTGTAGCATCTTGATTCACAGTGGTGGGCACTGCTGTGCTAACCCGCTAACAGCCAACTTTTCCTTTAGCGGATTAGCATCTTTGCTAGCGTTAGCACACCAGTTACCTTCCTTTGAATTCGATGCTAACTTTAGGACTGCTCGTGAAAAAAAAAAAAAGTATCCACGCTCACAAGTGCAGCACTGAAAGCATGTGTCTCGTGCGTAGCATTTTTAGCATTTTTTTAATTGAACTATGAGTTTGGTGGATGTAGAATTTTTAATTTATATTTTTAGTTTTTGGCCAAGATTCAAAATGCTAGACCTTAAAGTTGCCTGTGACATCAAATTTTTGAGATAAACACGATTGCATTTTTGGAAAGATAACACTGATAACATGTTGCAAAACAAATTTCACATCGCTGAGATGAACAGTTGTTGAGATATTTGCATGTGAAGAAACAGGAAGTGATGTCAGAGGGGAATGTCTGCATGTAAACAGAGCGATGCTACAACAGCTAACAACACAGACTGGAGAAGAATCTGATGTTTGTTTTTTTACATTATTTTGAGTCTGTATCAAAGAGATAAAAGAGCTTAAGTTTAAATGATTTTGTTTTAATACAGAAAAACCAAATATTTTATTTTATTAATGAGCTCCCCTTTGATGTCACTTCCTGTCTTACTTTGGCTGAGACAAATTCAAAATAGGCCAGTTATGGGACAAAATGGGTAAAATCATGTGTATTAGGGCTATTTTTTAAGTATAAAGATGTTTTCTTTGATTTTTTTGTATTTGAAGTGTAAGCATGTCACAGGCATTTTAAATTAGAGGATATCTTCCCCTAACGTTTTCCAAGCTAAGTTTTTACGTAGCAGGTCAGCGATTAGCAAAGCTAACTTTATGGTTAGCTGTGCCCACCACTGTTGATATAGTTCAACTAAAATTGTAAAAAGAAACAAGAACCTTTGTTTTTTAAGAAATAAAAACAGGAGCTACCGAGTGCAACATTTGGATTGGACCTGTTAGCATCAGAGTGAACTACAAACACTAAGGAGGGCAAAGGAGAGAGTTGCAGCTTGAGATGGACTGAGAACATGGATGTGAAGGAGAAACATGGAATTAGCTGAGGAACAGCGCAGAGAAAAGTGGGTTACACATCCTTAATATTCAAATTACTTCAGATGTTTTCCACAAAAACATTTGATTCGGCTGCAAAGTTGCAGTTTAGCTAAAAATTTGATGCGAGAGTGAGAGCAGATGTGAACACACATGCGGTTTCTCTGAAAATGGAGGAAAAACATCAGTCCGGCAGAGACAAATAAATCAAAAACAAAAGTTGTAACCAGTTTCTCGTCTTCCCTCCTCCAGTTTAATTGAAACTCTGGATTTTATTAAAGTCAAAACAGATTGAAAAGCTCCTTTCACTACCTACTTAATATCTTCACCAAACACTGGGGGGGGAATTAAATAAAATAATCTTCACCGTCTTCTTCGGGTTCTAAAAGAAGGATAGAAAAGGTAGAACAGATGCAGAAAAAAAGACTCTTCAAGGTTTGAAGCTTATCAAACACCTCAATCAGAAAGAAGCACAGTTTTCTTCATTAAGAAAAATAAAAAGCTGAAAGGAAACTCTCCAGTCCCTCTTTATATTTACAAGCTTAGAAAATGTACAGTGTCTGTGGGGGAGAAGAGAAAAAGGCTGAGCAAGAGAAGAATATTTACAGGAACTTTTCTAGCATTGACCTCGTCTGCAACTAATTTTATACGATGCAAAGCCACTGGAATATTTCATCCCTTCAATCAGAAAACTTTGAGAAATGTTGGGACATTTTGGGAAATGTGACAATTACTGCTTAGAGGTTTCACCGTTTGAACATAAAAACAAGACGAGGAAGCGTTTAGATGAGGAACACTTGTTAGCAGCTTTTATCTTTATGCTAAGCTTCTTTTTAAAAAGCAGGCAGAATATAGAATATATATATGTATTTTGTACAAGTCTTAACAAGAACGCTAATGTACACATTACCCAAAATGCCGAGCTAGTCCTTTTAGGGTCTTCTCAGTATCTTTTGTACGTTTGCAGAATTCTGGGAATCATCAAAGTTACAAGGATTTTAAATATAACCAGAGAAAACGTGTCTAATTGTGACCTAAACAACCAGACTTTATTGTATGATGCAAATACCACAACCTGATCAAAGATAAACTGTCAACTGGACAGGTTTATGGGATCAATCTTGTGCCAGCAGGAATTGAATTTGAACTGCTCAGATTGAATCTGAATGTGCATCATTTGAAACTGAATGCATTGGTTTGAAAATGAATTTTACTAAATTGAAATTATAAACAACTTATGTAAATTTATAAATTAAATTTATATAATTTATAAATTCAATTTAATTTAATTGGCTTAACTGTATTTTGGTTTATTAAAAATTCAGTTTGACTACTTTCACTTTCAG